CACAAGGCCGAGGAATGGTCCTTGAATCTAGAGCCCTTCCAACCTGCCAAAGAGGCCGTGCCGGCCGTGCTGGCGCAGCAGGTCCCTGCTCCCCGCGGTGCGACACGGCGCAGCCGGGAGCGCAGAGCTGTGGTCCAGCCCGCTGGGGACCGGCGCAGCGCGGCCACCGCCGAGGCAGGAGCCAGCACCTGCATCCGCCAGGGCCTGGCTCAACATCTGTCCAGCGGGTTAGGCTGGCAAAGCTTTTCAGCACAGGATGGGCCCAAGGTGCAGCACTAACGAAATGGACAAGGGCAGTACAGTGGGAGCACAAAAATCCCTACTAAAACAGCTCGCTCCTGCTGCGTGCCATACAAAATACATTGGTCTGTTTTGTTTCCTGCCAAACTTAATACGCTGCAAAGCAATTCTGTGCATAGGGTTCCATTTTTTCGAGAAATGGCATAAAATAAGCTCACAAGGACACAGTTATTTAATGCAAACATGCTATGTCAATATATAAATTAGGTATTATTCAAACAGGCTGCACAAAGACTATATGACAACTTTCTTATATTTTGTCTTTAATAATTGTCTTTAACCTAGCTTTATTATGCACACAATGTAACTGAAAGCCACTGCAGAATAGGTCATTTCTAGGAACGTAAGTTACAAAACAATCATAGCAGGAATCAAAAACTAACGAAGTTTTTAGTCTGCTAGTCACAACCTCAGGCAATTTGAAATGAACAATTCATAAATTATCTACTTAAAAGTCTAGGAAATAGACAAATAGCAAAAGCAACTGCTGCCTTTTGTAGTATTACTCGAGAAATCACATTAGAAACTATTAGTGGTGAAAGCATGAAATTAATCTGAAAAAATCTTCCAACAGAACCGGGTTCAGGTGCTCAGAGGTCAGAAGTTGTGACAGAACAGGGAGCCTCTGCAGTGACCCAGGAATCTCTGCCCTTGTAGGAGCTCCCCTTTTCTAGCAGCAGCAGGAGGAGAGCTACCTCGTGCTGGAGCTGAGGTATGCTTGTGTCTCACTTTTTCAACATCTGAAAACATCTGAAAAGATGTCTTTTTTAAAAATTATTTTTAACTTAACAAAAAGGATAAGAGACAACTATCGAACAGAAATCAAAATATTCAATTCTCACACTTGCATGGGAAAGGTGCACTGCTTTGCAAATTGCACAAATTAAGATCTCTGTGGATGCAATGACTCTGATATTTGCTCTCATTTTCTATAAAGCTTATGCTAAACTGGACTTGCTATAGATGAGATTGTAAGTTACAAAAATAGTTTTGTATGGGTGTTACTAAATTTAATTAATATCGCGTTGAACTTCAAAAACATTCTCATGAAGATGAACAAGGCTCGTTTCTGGAATGGAAATGAGGAGGAAAGACAAGGAGCACGTTCTAGTTACTGTGGATCAGCAGAGCTGCCAGGAACAACTGAATGAAGCTGCTATAACTCACTGTTCCTGGGAACGGTCCCCTTTCCGCCAACCCTAAAATCTAGGAAACGCCTGAGTGCCAGAGCCAGCTGCACCCTGCTCCACCTGAGCTGCATTCTGAGCTGTGCAGGTCAGAACAGTCCATATATAACCTCAGCTATAGTGCAGCGACCTCTGCTCAAGAAGTTTTATGTCGTGAACTGAAAATAGTTATTCCAGATATGTCAAACCTATTTAAGAAAATCTCTGCAGCATGAATTTGCCATGCATTGCATGAAAGATCCTTGGAACATTATTCTGGGAATGCATAACGGTGGGTTTTGGCACATTTCCATACCTTGAAGCATGTATAAGCACTTGGCCATGGTTTGAAATTGAGCTGCCTAGGAGCAATAGGGCCAAGACCTTTTCTAGCTTTCCATTATACTATTAAAAGCACAAAAGAAATTAAATACAGCACAGTGCATTGACTGTTCTGCTTTGAGGGAAGCCAGCAAGAGCGAGGAAACGCAGGATCAGACACCTGTCCTCAGCTTAACCGTCTGCCCTATTGCTGTGCAGCACCTTGCTCCTATCAGGCTCATGCGTTAGAGAGGAGAGAATATAAAGACAAAGCAGTGCTTCATTTCCTCCCCATTAGCTTTGGTGGCTTACAACAAATCTAATACTGTGTCTTCAGTATTCTACCTTCCTTGGAAATTGCACCAAAATCCACATGAACTTAGAATACGACTACATTGGAGTGAAGCTATCCGCATTAAATATTTAACTTCTACACTTGGTACCCCCAAGGATGTAATCTGTATTTGCACACTGACATGACAACATGATTTGTCTACTAGGACACTGTCCAGTCAACTGAAAAGAATCTGAAATACAGGGCCAACCTCTACTGTTGAAGCATGCAGAAAATGATTTAAACATTTCTACTGTTTGTCTTTCTGCTACCCCAGTGCCTAAAATAGAACTTAATGTACCGTCCAGCCTTGCTCAGCACACCCAAGAATGGAGATCTCCTGGGGCCCTAGCATTTCTATAAAACAGATGTTACAGTAATAGATGTGACTGTGGGAAATCTAACTGCTAAAGAAGCCTACATAGCTCTTGCATGTGAATTATAGTGCAACAGTTGGTGTCACTTTTTAAGTAGCTAAATCAACTTTAGATCATTTTGACAGAATTGGATTAGGGAGCAACTCTATGCGCAGTTATCCTGGCAGATGAGAAGGGGCAGTAGCATCAAAGTGTCTAACACAACACAGGAGAGCTCGATACGTGGTTCAGCACTTGTACCTAAAGGAACACTTACTATTTTGCATGTGCCTTTATCATATTAAAAAAAACCTTAATTTTATCACTTATGTAACTAGGTAACCAGAATGACTCACTGGCCAGGAAAATCAGTTGCTAGTTGTACTCTGGCAATAGCTCCAATCCTGCAACATGCAGATCTCAAGTGACAAGGCTGCGCTCTGCAATGGGGAGCAGGGGGGAGCGTGACATGAAGAAACCTTCTGCACAGCTTATGACATATACCTACGTCCTACAGACTTCATTTTTTTTACATTACAAAAATGGTAAGAGGTGCTCTGCAGCTCGTTGCATGACAAGGCAGTGAAGTGTCATACGCCTGGGCTCGGTTTGTTGCCTCATCGCGGCTTCTGCAGCCTACAAGGTGTATTGCATGTCCTTGCCTTCGACCGCTCTGCGTGCAACAGCTGCATTTGCCTCCCCATGCAGAAAGGCCCCTTCTAAAAAATGTCAATTCCAGTGTAACAGTAATCCCTCAGGCAGTGCAATCCTGCCCAAACGGTTCACTCGAAAAACCCCGAAAAACTGCTATTACAGAAGCTGTGGTCTCTTGTAAATACTTTCGATTTTTGCAGGAGGTAGAAGTATATTCGTCATGCATTTGCTCTTGAGTTAAAGGGTTTAATTCCTCTTTAAAAATACTCCTGGCGACAGAGGCAAAATCTTCCTCATTGGCAAAAAAATAATCTCTTCCCCCTACGCTATGTAGAAGAGAAACTCAGATTATCTTAAATGCACTGGTGGGGTGTGTGTGTGTGCAAGGGGGTTCATCCCTCTCAACAGCATTTCTGGGCATCTGGCAGTCCCAGCTCCCAAGCAGGGCTCTTGGCACCGCTCTTGTGCCAGCAGCGCAGAGGGGCCCATTTCCCAAGTTGCTCAGTATCAGGTGGTACTGGAGGGGGGTGAGGCTTCCCTTTCTAAAAGCCAAGCTGTAACTTGCTGTACACAAAACTGCCTTACACTTTCTAAAATCAGTTTTGCAGCAAAGTGTTTTATTTCCCTTAAATGCTTTCTCTCCTACCATGTCCCATTTGGGAGCCCGAGCATAAAGTGCATGACAGACTGAAGAGCTATGCGTACAACAAAGAGCTGCAGCCTGCGAGCAGCGTGACTTTTTAAAAGACACTTGCTCTCCCTGCAGAGTTTGCCCCTGCTGAAAAGAGGGAAGCACGAACCGTGCACGCAAATCCATCAGACTGCCACGGGCAGCCCACGCCACAGCCCCCGCGGTGAGGCACCTTCACACCGACTGCCCAGGTTTGTCCCTGGTTTGTCCCTGCCGCGCAGCGACACAGGGGAGCGCAACTCGCGTCTCGCTGAATTAACAAGACACCTGCACCAACCCTTGTCAGCAAGACAAACAACTCTAATATAACACCAGAAAGCACTCCCAGCCTTTCTTTACATGTGTACAATGCTGCCTCGAGCGCGTGAGCAACTAAACTGAAGACACCTCGCAGTCAAATCGTACTGGAATGCATCAAACCAAAGCAGCGTTATTTAAATGTAGTTTTACGGCAAATTTTACAGTGGATGCTCACAGCTAATGAGAATTTTTATGCATCCTTTAAACAAAAGTTAAATACTTAAAATATTCAAATAAATTAGCTATATTACTATTTTCCCCATTAACCAAGTGCTCCAATTCCCTTCACTTTAAGACTAAATCACATAATCTTTCAACCTTAAAACTGTTTGTTTGTTTGTTTTTCAGAGGAATAAAAAGCATCTCTCCATTGAGGAACTTCCCTAAAAATATCCTTTATCAAGAGACTACTACAACACTAAATGACAGGCACAAAACTCAAAGGTAACGCTTCAACTTTTCTAACTATTAAGCAACATATCCTAGGAGAAAACATGTAAAAATCGTAATTCCTTATCTAATTTCAGCATAAAGCAGTAACTCTAAACCTGGCACTCAAAAAACAGTTCAAAATGCATGCAGGCACTAAGCTTCAGCATATGATAAAGTTGATATTCATGTTTCACAAATACAGTGCTCAGTTACAGGAAAATAAACAGGAGACACCTCACTATATATGTCAGTTGATAAAGACTGCACCTCCAGCATGCAGACAACAACACATCAAACTTCAGTATCCACCGTTCCCGACACACTTGTGTTCTGCAGCACGCAATTTTCAAAAGGCACCAGTTGTAAACACCAAAGAGTTTCCCAGTTGTTAGCCCGAGCACATTAATCTCCTACCCCTGTCCGCAATTTAAGAAGTTGCCACATACCTGCAGTTAGGGGGAGGATCGAGGGTTATTTCAGCTAGCTCCTTCTGGATTCTGTTGGTGAAATGAGAACAGACACAAAGCATGTGAGATAGTCTATAGAATAAATCAGGGAATTACACTGCCCTCTACCACCATGCAGTTAAATGCAAGATTGGCTTTGCCTTCAGTAATGCTAACATGGCTGCTTCCTCTTTGTTCTCAGAGGCATAACCCAAATCCCAAAGCAGAGAAACTTTGCCGCTTTTTTCCTGCCCGATACTGTAAATAAGCAGAACGCTTGCAATGCCGTTTGATAGGGATTTCCCACAAGAATTCAGAAAAGTAACTATTTTCATATCCAAGCACTCCTTAGCAGAGAGATTTTCTTTTCAAGCTAATATGCAAATGAGGGGGGGAGGCTGCTCGGGAATATTCAGCGCCGGCTCCAAAGAGCGCGACAGACCTGAGGCTGCGGCTGGGGCCCGAGCAAACACCTCCTTTCCAGGGGCTTTTACTGCGACTTTGCGGCGCATTTAAGAAGTAGCTTGCAGCTCTGCCAGGCTGCTCAATTACTGGAATAATCTCTGTGCATCAAGTTTGCTTCTCTGCACACCTTGCGCTGCCTTTCTTCCCTGAAGCCCATAGTTTGGAAGTAATCTGTGAGCTAGCTTCACTCTGCCCTGGAACAGCCCCTCCTGAGGTGCTAAGGTCCAAGGAGGAATACTGAAAACTTTTTGTCTGTTTAATAGTTTGTTCAGATAGACAGGAGGTTAAGATGTTAAAAGATGCACGGTAAATTCGTCTTGAAAACATAAAATAAGAATTTTCTTCCAAAGAGGCCCATAAAAGCAAAGCTGTTCTTTCCTTTAAATAAGAAGCATTAAAATAGGAACTAATAGAAGCTGATCCAAAAGCCCTTACAGTAGTCACACTGAGTTCAATCAGACCACTCAACTATGTGAGATCCATGGAATTAGACACACAACTACGCAAAATCAAGGCAAGACGGGAAAACTTAGTCTCGAGTTTCTACACGAGGTATCGTGGGCTTTTCAGAAAGAGACAAGGAATAATAAATTACAAAATCTACACAGTGCTTCCATAATTCTTCCTTCTGGAGCCAGTCCTATTTCAAAGTGTTTTTTTTTTTAAAACACAGAAGTCAAAGCCACCTAGTCATATTCTGCAGTAATATTAAGGCACATTTCAAAAAGTATTTACTGAATTAAGTCCAATACAAAATTCCTAAAATGCTCCTAAAAATCTGAACTACAGTATTCATGCTGAATAAGCAAAACCCGAAGCTGCTTAATGAAGAACTCCTATGCATTCTTATGGATAATCTACACCTCTTCTTGCTACAGGATAAACTTAATACTTGCAAAGAGAAGGAACTCTGGGGAAAAGGTTGGAAAGTTACTTTTCATCTCAAAAGGCCATGGGAATGAAGGGATTTAAAGCTCGCTTCTTTCACACAGCTGAACTTGCAGGAAAGCGTCAGTTTCTTGAGAGCGGCACTACCAGAAATTTACACACAGGTCGAAATGCCCCAGGTGTGGCCGAGCAAGCTTCCCAGGGGCTGTGCTGGTTAACTGCAGAGCCCACCTATGGGATCTATGGATCCTAAGGCAAAAGACACGCTTAAACTGCTCCCGGACAAACTGCAGAAACTTAGTTTCAGGCATGTAAGACTGTACTGCATTTTGACAAGAAAAGCTAGTTGCAGGGCCCACAAAACCCAATTGTGCGTGTGTATGTGATTTCCTTAAAGTGCATTTCATGTCATTAGTCTGTAGGCTGCTAATACATCCTAGGACACTGTCCCACAGCAATCCAGATGGAAAACCAATTCTATGAAAGACACCTGAAGCTCACACACATGCTCCTTCACACATCCCTACAAAGATAAAAAGGCAAAAAGACAAAAAAACAAACAAATAAAAATAAAAAACACCACACAGCCAGTAAGTTCCCAAGTCCTTAAGCAACGCCTCAAAAGAAATACAACAAGTTTGCTAAACTATTACCCCGGTAAGATTTGGATTAATAATGCCTGACAGACACCTGCATTTAAGATGTTTGTACTTTCCTTCCTTGTCGGGCTTTACAAGAATCCATCTGCACGGAAATGTGCCATTGCAAATACTGTGAAAAATTTTTATTCTCACTTTTACCTTTTAGCACTAGTAGATAGCTTAGCAGTAGTTTTGCTGGATAGTTTGGTGTTTTTCTTCTGCTGGGTTGCAGAAGGTTTTCTTTCTTCCTGCTCTTCAGGTTCAGGTGCTGGGGGATCCCTCTGATCAGCATCTGAGCTACCACTGCTGGTACTCGGACTCTCGTCGTCTGACCTCTGCCTGTCACTGGACATCGTGGGGGACTTTGGGGGACGGACGGCAAGACAGGCAGGTTAGTGCCACGCTCGGGACCATCTCCTCCCATTCCCCCAAGTTCTGAAGAGCACTTCCGAACTGACGACAACTCCGTGGCACGGAGAAATTAGCCCAAACGCACCTCTTTGTCTCATCCTCAGCAAGGGCTGCCGTTTGACAGCTACGAGGCAATATTTACACTTCTGGAAATACAGATATTTCCAATTTTGAAGCCCACTCACATTTTTTTCATACTTTAAACAATATGCCAATTGTCGACTTTGTTCTGAGGCATGAGACAGATTTAGCAGGGTACTTAGGCAAGGCACATTAATAACTTATGACACATTGTAAATAACAGACCTCACCGAGAATGTTTTTTAAAAAGTCACTAATACCCTGTAAATATTTACACTGGAGCAGAGCGTTGAAGCCCACTCACATTTTTTTCATACTTTAAACAATATGCCAATTGTCGACTTTGTTCTGAGGCATGAGACAGATTTAGCAGGGTACTTAGGCAAGGCACATTAATAACTTATGACACATTGTAAATAACAGACCTCACCGAGAATGTTTTTTAAAAAGTCACTAATACCCTGTAAATATTTACACTGGAGCAGAGCGTTTCGTGGGTCCCCCCCACTCTCCGGCACAG